TTAGGGATCTTTTGGAATCATTTAATCATCTATGCCGATCCCTTCCAAAGTTTGGCAGGGTATTTATCCAGGACACATGATGTTATTTTCTTGATAATACTCTTGGAAATTAATCCCAACTTAGATTTGGAGGGATTAATTAAACGGGATTGCAAGCTACTGAAAAAGTTCGGCTTATGATCTTAGAAGAGAATGTATACATCTTTCATATTAAATTTGCCCATTCTGTCAGCAACTCCACATTTGTTAGCACATTTGTATATTATATGCGCGGTACTTATTAGAAAGCGCTCAGTATCAGAGATAGAGCTAACATATTGAATCAGATATATGTATATGTGTATATGTATATATATGTATGTGTGTGTATGTATGTGCATGTGTGTATTTGTGTGGATATATGGATATATGTGCATGTGTGTACATAGGTATATGTATGTGTGTATGTGGGTACACGCGTATGTGTATGTATATACGTGTATAAGTCATTGTGTATGTGAGGATTCGCATGTGTTTTTGAACATAAAAATATAGGTCCTTGCTAGATTAGATAATCGTTATATTTATTCTTTATATGTTTGTATTTGATTTGTAATCTGTAGTCGATATTAATTTTGTGAAATTTTCTCTATTACACAGCGACCCTTTTAGTAAATGTCCTTCAATTTTAGTTTCCCCCGCCCCATCTCTCTCCCCCACCTCATCTTTCGTTTTCTCTCCCTCTCATCTATTCTGATCTTTAATATTAGATCGTCTATGGTGTGTTAATGTTACCGCGAAATGTATCTTTAATGTATTAGACATCCGACAACATTCATATGTCCCCCTTCCACTCACCTCTAGTTAGAAAAAACCCTCTCTGTTAAGTTTTAGTCTCCCACCTTCTCCGTCTATTACCCCTCTAGTTAACATTAACATTCGTCCCACACTCTCATACTTACACTCTCTCCAAATACTATTTTTATTTCCGGAGTTGTTCTTTTCTGTTTTCTTTTTGAATTTGTAGGTCTGATGAATTGGATCGTATTTACGATTCCAATAGAATAAATTATGACCATGGAATATTAGTGTTTAAGCCTTTTATTATTATATATATATATATATATATATATATATATATATATATATATATATATATATATATATATATATATATATATATTGGTGAATTATATTCTTCATAGAGCCCCGACGCATCTGTGTAACATTTACATATCCATATTATTTTTATATGAGTGCGTATTTCTATGTGATGATAACGATGCGTATGATTGTGGGTTGCTATTTCGTAGTATAAACTTAATCTCTAGAATATTAATGCGTGAGAGTGTGTCTCCGAACGCTATCAGAAACCATTAACCTTAAATTGGAACGTATCACTTGATTTAGTGATAATAAATATACCCGAATACATGCCATAAAATTTTATTTTCTTCCTCTGGCTCGCATTCCTGGACAGTGCTTGGGTTGATAAGTGTATGAATTACCGCCAGGGTGTTCAATCATCGCCCTGTGTCTCACAAAAAACCTATATATGCGGTTGATTAAACTTGGAGTTACTTATCTATCTTAGCTTCAATATATCGGCATTCTCTTCTAAATAGTTATCAATGCGTTTCTTTTTTCCATTTATCAATGTGTATATTATGTTGTTCGGAAAATATCTGGTTTTAGAATAAGCCTTTTGTTTTCTAAAATATTATTTTAATAGTTGCACAAAAATATGTTACTCATTTGTAATGATTAACGTGTCCTCTTTGTTAATTTACATTAGATATCTTTCAGAATTTAACTTAAAATGTTATATATTTCTCATCTTGAAAAAAAAAACGAGATGCATTTACTTTGGTCATAATAATTACTCAAACAGCTGCCTACAGTAACAGATCATAGGTTGAATGATTCGCTTTTGTTCTACCTGTACGTCGCATGTTTCTCAAGTACTGCAGTGGAGATACGAGTTTTTACGTTGATGTAGTAGAGATTGCCCATCTGTAATTAACGATCAATATCAGAAACTAAAGTCAAGCAAAACCTAGATCAAAGTGTCAGAGAAATTTCTCAAATAATGCCTGTCTGCATTTCACAAATAAAGGATCATCTTAAGAAAATTGGCAAGATGAAGAAACTCGATAAATGGGATCCACGTGAACACAGTGAAAATCTAAGTATTCGACGTTTTGATGTTGCATTTGCGAAACTTACAAGATTAATTTCTTAATCGAATATAGGGACCTCTGATGATAAATGTATCCTTTATGACAATCGTAAATGGCGTGATCATACTAAGCACCTGCAGGATTCCCAAAATGGAAATAACACCAACAGAATATTATTGTAACTTTCTGGTGGTCCACCATTAGCGTTATCCATTAAAGATTTCTAGAATCTAAGCAGAATATCACTGCCAATGTTTACTGTCAGCAAGTGAATAAAATGCACATTAAGTTAAGCAAAATCCAACCGGCACTAGTTAAACGATGAAGTTCAATTCTGCAACATGACAGTAGGAGAGTGTAGGAAGCTCATCGACTTAGGATACAAGACTTTGCCACATTTAACATGTTCACCTGATCTCTTGCCCCCTCTCTACGACCTTTCCAAATTCCTTGCAAATTGTTAAGCCAAAAGTTATTACGTTTCAAAAAAGTTGAAGAATCTGCATTCACAATTTCTTGACGTTTAAGTTTAACATCTGGGTTGAATTTGTGAAGCTTCTTTCCTTTGAAGACAGATATCTTCCGCCCTCCCCTTAAATCTACTAGGGCTGTCTGTCCCGCTGAGCCTGCCATATGAGTAGCCTTTGTATGAATTTTTTCATCTGCTGACGTTGTTAAATAATAAAGGTTTAATCTTTAGTTTCGACACTGAATACAGTCCACCGTCTGGGTTGAATAAGACTGACGTACTCGATGTTAGCTGAAATAGTCTATACCAATCAAGTAATTTTAGATTTCTCTGTTGTGTAATTTACATTCTCTGTTATAATAAATACACTGAGTTCTTTTTGTGAATCAGTTTTAATATTTTATATTATTAGAATCCACTTTGATTATGATATATATATATATATATACATATACATATATATATATATATATATATATATATATATATATATATATATATATATACAAACAAGCTACATATATATATATGTGTGTGTTTGCAAAAAATTTGAAACATGAGAACACTTATGTAGCGATGGAATCATATTTTAAAAAATATTAAATATATATATATATATATATATATATATATATATATATATATATATATATATATATATATTGATGCATGTTTATTAAATAATATAGACAGGTTTTGTCTATTTATTTTATGTAAATTCTTTGCATATCGTCTGATGAGCTTAATAACATTATCATTAAAAGAAGAAAGAAAATCACTATATTGATACATATGTTTAATCCTATCTAAGCTTATGTCGGAATAGATATTTCACACAAACTTTACACCAGACCGTAAAAAAGAAACTCGGTGAAGTGTTGAGATATTGCCATCGAATACGGAAGTACAGAGCCTCACTACTGCGTCCAGCATTGCAAGCTCTGAAATGAGATTGAGAGTCAAATGGCTATATAAATAAATGGGAAGCATTCACCATCAAATATCGCAGGAGAATATTGCCTCCGGGCGTCAGACAAGGATCAGGGCTCTCACGACACAGTCTCACCTCGTAGTTACTGACAAAATATTAGAGTCACTAAAATGTTAATTAATGGAAATTTAATGTATTGAGATATATATATATATATATATATATATATATATATATATTGATATATATATATATATATATATATATATATATATATATATATATATATATATATATCGATTACTAATTAATAATTACATAACAGCAATAATCTGTTGCAAATGCCATCTCTATTAGTTTACATAATTCATGACCTAGACAGGATAAAGACGCCATTCTACTCTGCTATTTAACCCATAATTGGGGGATTGCTGACGAGATGGATTCATGACTTTCCAAAAGGGAATACTTTGAAATTTAACGCAACGGACTGCACGACAATTCTACGTTATGTGAGGAAACACAAGCTTTAAACTTGTGAGTATATCAACGCATTTAACAGCCAAATTTTTTTAATGCGCATTTTTGGCCCAGACAGTTGTGTTAGGAGTTTGTTTATTCCTTATGTTTAATTACAGTAGATACCATTTTCATTTTTATAGAAACTAGAACACCAAATATATATGTGTATACAACATCAAAATATAATATTGATTAGAAATAATAAAAAAATACTTTTCAAAATAGTCAATATTTTTCTAATCGTGAAATGTAAAATTATGACTGAATGTGTTTTCTTACGGCTAATAATAAAACCCTTTAAAGGCTAAGTGTTGTAAAACATACCTCTGCAAATGTAAGCAATGCAATGTAAATACAATGAATAACATGTAGTGAGTTTAATTTTAACAGATCCCCAAGTGGGGCTCATGGCAGGTTAATGATTATATCGATGCAAATAGTTATCCTACGATCAAAATTAGGTAGTTTTCCTGTTGATTCATTACAAAGATATGCATTAATATATTCTTAGTCACATCTCTCGTTTCCATGTGTGTCTATTTGTTATATCCATGTAGTCAATAATTACATTTCGTTTTCTCACACTTCTGTCTCTTTTTTCCTCTTTACACTTTCTTTTCTATTCTTCGTTATTCTGAAAGCGTTGTCTTAATATTCCACCTTATCCAACGCGCAGTTCTCAAACTGCATCACTATTCTTTCTCATTCAATTTCTATCTCAGCAGCTTCCCCGTCTATACACAGGCACATGATCTATCGCTCGTTTGGTCTCTTTAGACCCATAAATAATTTTATGTTTTCATCGTAATTTGCCCCGAGATAGTGAATGGCAAATACAATGACATCTGTATTATACGACGTTTTCGTAAATCCATTGGATTTGTTGCCATGGCAACAACACAACCCATGGTCCCAGCAAATGTATTCTTTTGTTCATCTATTGATTTCTAAGCCATTTTCAAGGCGTTTGCCCGTGTCCATTAAAAACGCGCAAAGGGTAAGGCAGGAGAACTATTGAAGAATTTCGCAGGGCCACTACTTGACAGGTTTCAACATCCATAGATGTGTATAAATATCTCTATATAGAAGATTTTAAGGGTTACATCGACATCCGGCAAATATACACACTTACACACACACACACACACACACACACACACACACACATATATATATATATATATATATATATATGTATGTATATTTGGATCAAATATGGATAGGCATCAGAAAAATTAACAGGATAAGGAACAAATAGATTTTTTTTCAAAAATCTAACATGTTTCGCATTTATCGTTATCTGATGAAGCTTTAATAAAGTAGAAATATGTTAGATTATAAATGTTTCCTATTTGTTAGATATCCAATCAGACACATACACACACATATACACATATATATATATATATATATATATATATATATATATATATATATATATATATATATATATATATATATATATATATAATGGTCCCTCCCGTCGGTTTCGACGTATGAGGATCTGACAGCTTAATTGATTCAGTTATGAAAATTTTGTTCGATTATCTTAAGTCGCACATATTTGTGTATTGATCATCGTGTGTGATCAATTTTTAATAACTATTTTTTAGCATAAATCATTTTTCTCGTATAAATTCTGTCCACGACAATATATTAACATATTTTTGTAAAAAACACAAAATGTTATTTTTTACTTATTCATTATAATATACAATAATGCAACACGCGAATGTCATTCACAAAACTATAAAAAGAAAAAAAAACTAAAAATATGATTATTTAATATGGTTCAATTAATTTTTTTGAATGGATGTTGTGTAAACATATGTAATTCAAACTATACGATTGAAAAAACAAGAAACAGTGGATTGGCATTTGAATTTAATTGGCGGCAATTTTCCATCCATTTACAGTTGAAATGGTTAGATGCAACCGAAAGTTGTATACTAACAGTTTAGAAATTTCATTCTCGCTTCCCAGACAATTTTCATCTTCAAAAGATTGAATGCAATGTCAAACGTTGTTCCATTTAGCTAATTCCTTTTTTTCTTTTATTCCCAATAATTTTTTTCCATCTTCTATGACGTTGAAGAAACCCTTGCATCTTAGTGACCTTATTGCTTTGCATGGGGTGAAATGATTAAAACAATGCCATTTAAATATACCTCAAAATCTTTAGCTGTGTATTTTTTGTAATAATAAGGAGCTGTCTATATCCTTTTTAATGATAAGAGGCTGTCTCCTTTAATCAAAAGCGTCCAATATCCATGTAATATAGTTCTTTTAGGAATGTGTTACAGGTATTTCAAGAGAAAGCAGAGGAGGCTTTGTGTTAGACATTTGTGATTATCTATCTATCTATCTATTACTTCATATGTATCTGTCCGTTTGTTTGTCTGTCTATATCTATCTATTAATTCATATCTATCTGTCCGTATGTCTGTGCGCGTGTCTCTCATTCTCTATCTATCTATCTATCTATCTATCTATCTATCTATCTATCTATCTATCTATTACTTCATATATATCTATCCGTTTGTCTGTCTGTCTATATCTATGTATTACTTCATATCTGTCTGTCTGTCTGTATCTATCTATCATTTTAAGGACAATAAATTAAGTACTTTCGCGCGGAAAATAGGGATTATTAATTTTCTAATAATTATTTGACAGGTATTATATATTTCACGATTAATATTTTAGTTATTTTGTCCCGGTACGCAATTCTGGATAAATATGAAACAGCAATACACTCTCCTTGTAGCTAGACGTCAAGTGATATTGCCTGCTCGTACCGATGCATGGCGTTCGGTTTTACTCATCCATTTCATTCTGCGATTTCATTCAAATAACTGAAAGACTGCCATTTTCTCCGGATACACAGACCCAGGTCACAAAGAGACTTGGGTTGACAATCGCTGCGGGTGAGCCATGTCCCGATGTAGCTGTCATTTGCAACGTCACAAAGTTGTATTACACAGCGGAGATAAAATGAAAATATGTTTTCAAAGCCACAGTGAGACATTGGCAATAGCATCTCGATTTTCTTCTTGTCAAAGAATAGAACTGTTTGGCAGTCGATCTAAAGAAAAAAGCAACAGAGGACAAAACGCCTAAAGTTAGGGAATTCTTGGACTGACCATGTAAAGAAGGTTAGAATCCTGGTATATGTGAAGTCAAGCATAAACAATATCTAAATATTTCCTTGCCTAATAATACATGAACAGATGTTGCAACGAAGGAAGTGATGCACAGTTATATATATATATATATATATATATATATATATATATATATATATATATTTTATATTTAGGCAGCAATCTTTCATTAATGCATGTTTCATTAAATAATATAGACAGGTTTTGTCTATTTATTTTAAGTAAGTTCCTTTCATATTGTCTGATAAGCTTAATCACATTATCGTTGAATGACGAAAGGAAAGCACCATATTCATACATGTTTATATCCAATCTATGCTTTCGGCTTACACAAACTCACTTTCACGTCGCTTGAATCTACATTTAAATGATAACTCTAACATTTTTTAGATATTTAAAACAACATGCCTGTCCGCGTACTCAATTCCGGAAAATCGCTGTTGGCAACACAACTATACTTAAACATGAAAACAATAAACAAAAATTAAAAAACAAATTCTTGAAGCTTTATACTTCCGCGTCTCGTATATACGAATTTGTCGTTACTTGGAAATTTTCATGAAGCAAGGGCGGACTATCATTGTTGTTTCTGTCCATACATATATATATATATATATATATATATATATATATATATATATATATATATATATATATATATATATATATATGAACACTTAATGTGACACCAAGACAAGATAACTTTAAAGACAGCGATCATACTTTTATTAATAAAATAGATATAAACGTATCTATTTTGTTAACTATTCTCCTGACTTCTTTTCTATCATGGACAGTCCGATAACGAGACACAAGTTAGACTTTTTGGAGTCTATTATTATTAACATGCAACGGGAGATGAAATATAGGTTGACCTTATTCGGGGAAACTACTGCTTGACTAGGGGCATATTTAATAACAATTCCCTCTCTTATTTGCCTATTGGGTAATTGATTTCTTAATATCAATTGATGATAAAAAAATTTTTTATCAACATTTTTGTTTCATGTTGCTGACGATTCTGTTTCCGAGGAAGTATCGACTGAAAGGCACCTAAAATCCTGTTCTTAAACGAGATACTTTTGTATCTATTTATTTAATAAAAATATTATCCTTGTTCTTAATACACACACACACACACACACACACACACACACACATATATATATATATATATATATATATATATATATATATATATATATACACACATATATATATATATGTGTGTGTGTGTGTGTGTGTAATATATATATATATATATGTAATATTTGAATAATTCTTCATATATGTTTAATCGACATTGCATATCCGGAAAGTCTTTATAATAATATTTATTATAAATAAACTGTGCTCTCTGTCAGGGATGTGCGTAAGTGTCTCTTTTTTTTATACATACGTATTATTAAATTTTTTACGTAAATGTATGATTAAATATATAATGGAACAAAGTTTGATTTGGGAAAATATAATTTTCTTTTTAAAGTAAGTTTTATTTCCTCGGACTCTGAATATCTAAAATATGAGAAGACATTTTAAGATTAGCAAGATTAAGATTAGTGTTACAAATCCAGTAGGTGTCGACACCCCTTATTCTAAACTGCGGTGCTCATACAGATTGCAAAACTGTAGTGGCTAATGACCGGAACAATGTACCGAATATACAGTCGGCGATCATATAAAGACACTCAACGCCAATAGATTTTCTAGGCTTGATATGTCGAAAAAAAGCGTGCGACGGGTAAATTGTCGATATAAGCTAATGTTAATTTCGATCATGTGTTTTGTTTGTCTTTGATATTCTCCTCTATGGGGAGGTTTTACTCGAAAGATGTTTTCTGCCAAGTGTATAGGAGATGTGGTAAAACGAAACAGTACTGTCTTTGGTTCCATGAATAATGTCACAGATCGTGTCTTCAAGGCTTACGCACTGAATTATGTGGGAAGAGTAGCCCACCAATTCATGGTGTTCGGAATAACATGTCAGATAGCCGATACTTTTCCCATACGGAAATTTTGATGCTTACCTTGGGCGGTAATGGTGATTTGGTGACGAAATAAAATTTTGGCAGATTCTCAGAGAAATAAAATGGACATTTTTGTTCATGTTGATGATGATAATTAAATTACTACAAAATGATGATTCATTGAAAGAAAAAGAAAAGAAAAACAGGAATCTGTAAGGAACTTGACAAAAATGGGATGAAAACAGAAACGAAATGAAACGCGCTCGGCGCCACGGCGGAAGAAAGAAAGGAAACAAAAAAAGGAAAATGCAAGTCGAAGAATTCAAGCAGGGGATTCTGGAGGAAGAAAAGACTATGGGGTGCGAAAGAGGGGAAGAGGCAAGTGGACTTGAATGCTTTGATGATCAAAAGAATCGTTTAAAGTTCACAAACCGCATCTAAATAAACACGAGAGGAACGAATAAAAATATTTGTCTCATCTCTGTCGATTTTCTTCCTTCATTTATCTGTCATGCGTCATTCGCTTTCGTGCCTTCATCTCTGTTTCACTATAAATGGTGGGTCGATAGTTAGCAAATATGTTGTAAAAAAACCATTTCAGTGCTTACTAGTTATACAAATCATACCTTTATCCCAATTATTTGTTTTTCTCTCGACACATAATTGTAAATTACATTGTTTCTGAAATTGTGTACACATCAGTATGGTAGTTTATTTAACTATTGATAAAATGTAACAAAATGAAACCTGTTATCAAGAGAGGAGTTTGGCATCACCAGGTAATTATA